GGATTCAGACCTGTTGTTGATCTCTGTTCTGGATGAGAATGATAATCGTCCTGTGTTCTCCAGGAGCAGCTATAGAGCTGAGATCACTGAGAACTCTGCAGCAGGTACAAACACACAGGCACCTGTCAGTCTGTCTGTCTGTCTGTCTGTCACATAACTAATTGGTTTCATCCTGCTTCATTGAGACGTAAAGCTGAGCATCATCTGCATAGAGATGAACATTTATGGAGTGTCCTTATTACCAGGTATCTAAGGTGTTCAGACATAATCAGAAATGTTCTGTGCTGTTATTCCTTATCTCTCAGAATTTATCTGAGCTCTGAGTGTGAAAGGACAGGTTCAGGAAAATTCTGGAGATCAAAACTTTAGGCTCTTTGGTTGGTTCTTAAAGGAAGAATATGCAATTTTGAATTAAATGTAGCAGAAATCAAGTATATCCTCTGAAAATAACTCTGTGATTCATGACTGTCTACAATGAGTGTAACACCCGAGTCCCACTGTCTGTGATGCTTTTAGCTGGCCGGCTCCTCCCCTCGCGTATAAAAGTTCTTTAATTGAGGGACTAGAGAAAAGAAGAATAACATACTATACTCACTGATTTTTTGAAAGTCACGTAAGCGTTTCTAGATCACGGTCATTTCGGTTAAATATACATGCATTGTGATGATACGAGCTAACTTAACTTAACTTGCTAACATAACAATGCAGCGCGAGTTGTTTTTGTTTCATGCTGGTGCTAAAGGGCGACATCTGCTGGATCAAAAAATTGCAGAACATCAAAACCAAAATCTTTATTTTCAGAGAATGAATAAATTAACTTACCTTAACTGCCTATAAATTAAATTCCTTGTCTCCTTGCTTCCTTGTCTCCTTCAGGTAGCACAGTGTCAGTGTTAAACGGTCCTGTTCTGGCTGAGGACAGAGACATCGGAGCGAATGCGGTGGTGCACTATCACCTGCTGGGATCCAGAGTGGACCTGTTCACTGTGGACTCTGACACAGGTAACATCATACCTCGGGACATACATAGAGATGTTTTAACCTGCAGCCTTCATTACAACACTTGTGTCTGTCCACCAGGTGTGATCCGTGTCCGTCAGGGAGCCAGGTTAGACCGAGAATCCTTCCAAGAGCCTCGGGTGGAGCTGTTTGTGGTCGGGGAGGACGTTGGGGGTTTAAACAGCAGCGTTCCACTCACAGTCACCATACTGGACCAGAACGACAACCCACCTGTGTTCAGCCCGCCCAGTTTCAGTGTACGTCTACCTGAGAACAGCCCCACAGGTGAGACATCCCTTTAGGCCTTAATATAATGTAAACAGGTGAGAACCATTTTAACATGGAGCTCTATGGGGACTGACTCACTGCAGGAGACAGACTCTAGTGGACACTGGAGGAACTGCAGCTGTAAAGTTGGACATTTGAACATGGAGCTCTATGGGGACTGACTCACTCCCCACCATCCCCTCCGCTTTCTATTCCTCAGGTGTGGTGGTGACTCAGCTTTCAGCCACAGACGCTGACTCGGGTTCCAACGGTTGGCTCATGTATCGGTTGGAGAGTGGCGCTCAGGACCGTTTTGTGGTGGATGCGCTCTCTGGCGCCGTCCTGGTGGGAAACACCACCCTTGACAGAGAAGAGAGAGGATCCTACCGGCTGGTAGTCATGGCAACAGATCGCGGCACACCCCCCATGTCGGGCACGGCCACCCTCACAGTCATCTTGGACGACGTGAATGACTCGAGGCCTCGTTTTATCGATCCCGTGACCATGATCAATGTGAACGAGTCCACACCGCCTGGGGTGGTTGTCGCCACACTGACCGCAGAGGACCCAGACCTGCACCCCCGCCTCGAGTACTACATCATCTCAGTGGAAGCAAAGGATGATGGAAACAACCCGGTGGACGGCCTGCAGGAGTCTTTTGGCATCGATTTACACACAGGTGAGACTGAATCCAGAACCTGAAGGTGTTCCATTAAAACAGATTTCATTTATATCAGTCTAAATGTTTCCAGGCGCCGTGTTCATACGAAACCCGCTCAACAGAGAGCAGGTCGCCACGTTTGAGATCATCGTATCCGTACACGACAACGCAAGTGAGGTCATTGATAAATCTGGCAGCGTTCCAAATGGTGAGTTCATGTTTTAACCTTAACCTCGTCCTCAGCTTCTTCTTTATCGCTTATTCTCTCTCTCTCTGTCTCGTCCTCACGCCCCGCCCCCTGCAGCGAGGCTGACCATTAACGTGTTGGACGTGAACGATAACGCTCCTCGTTTTCGACCATTCGGAGTCTCAAACTTCACAGAGAAGATTCTAGAAGGAGCTCAGCCGGGTACCACGCTGCTGTCAGTGTCAGCCATAGACCCCGATAAAGGTCCCAATGGGCAGGTCATCTACCAGTTGCTGCACCTGCCCCGGGGGGGTTACGTCAGGCTGGAGGACCCCTCCACAGGTATGACCCCCCCTCCCTACACACCACAGCACAGATGAATGAGTTTAACAGGAATGTTTGACTTATTCAATGAATCAATCTCACTGCGGTTCCATCTGTTCAGGGAAGATCGTGGCCAATCAGACGGTGGACTTTGAGCAAGTTCAGTGGCTGAATTTCACGATTCGAGCCCAGGATCACGGCTCTCCTCCGAGGATCGCTGAGCTGCCCGTTTACCTGAGAATTGTCGACGTGAACGACAACAACCCTGTGTTCCTGCAGCCCTCCTATCAGGTAACTCTAGTCTAATGGATTCAAAGAGTAGGCTCGACAACAGAGTGTTTAACAGGATCACATTCTCGTCAGAAATTCTGATGCAAAGTGTGCGTTTGTGTGTTTGAAGGAGCCCGTGTTTGAGAATGTGGATCTGGGAACCACCATAGTCCGAGTCAGTGCCACGGACGCAGACTCTGGCCTGTTTGCTGTGGTCGAATACAGTTTGGTGGACGGGGAGGGAAAGTTTGGCATCAGACCGACCACAGTGAGTTCAACTTAAATCTATACGTCTGTAAGATCCTCAAAATGTCCAATACTTCCATATTTTCTCTTCCACGTGTTGTAAAGTGATACACTCACTGATGTTTTAATGATCGATGGTAACCAAAGGTACTGCAACGCTGCTGGTACAGGAGGGGTAGCTAGTTGGCAATAAGTCCCGGGATAGCTGGTTAGCATCAGTTAGACAGACAACAAAGTTGGGGAATTCCACACGGTACTTTTATTCTGGTTTACTAAATGGACCATACAAAGCCAGGTTAGCACGGCACTATATATCCTGATCACACAAGATAGGTAAAAATAGGCTAATATCCTGCACCAACTTGTCACTAGAGAGTCCTCTCATGATCGACATACAAGATGACTGTAATAGATAGACTTTCTCACCCACACACTTAAACATAACAGAGACACCACCTTGTGGCGCTATTTGGTACTACCACTAATATATTCTGACTGTTACAGTACTAAAGCTTAAAAAAAGAATGTGTGTGTGAGAGAGGAATGAGTCATCAGAAACTGCAGACAAACTCCTGCAAACTGTTGAAAAAAAACAGTGGCAATGTTAGGATGTGTGCCAACGTCCAACACATAAATCGTAATGTTTTTGTAAAACTTTGACAGAGTGAAGGAGATTGTCTTCAATTAATATGAATGAAAAACAAGAAATAACCAAACATTGGGTGACTAGGACTTTAGTTTTAGTTAACCCTAACCCTAACCCAACCCAACCCTAACCCTAACCCATGGTATCAGGCTGATATCGATCTCGATATCGTTCGATTTTTACTAGAATCACATCAAAATGTTATTCTGCTTATCCTTCATGTCTGTCAGGGAAGAAGGGATTCAACAAAGAATGTCTGCATGTTTCGAACAAAATATTTCAGTGAATCAAAGATGTCTGAGCTCCATGCTAACACCCAGCGCTCCTTCCTCCTCCTCTTCATCAGGGAGAGATCTACATCCTGTCTCCTCTGGACAGAGAGACCAAGGATCACTACACGCTGACCGCCGTCGCCAGAGACAACCCCGGAGGAATCTCCAACAACAGAAGAGAGAACTCTGTGCAGGTGGACAAACCGTCAAACTTTCATCCACTTTTATTAATGACAGTCTACGAATAGATATGTCCTTCAGTTGGGACTTCAATAAAGACGTAATGTTCAAACTCACACTCAACAAAGATTGGAAAAACCAAATATTGAATTGCACTGTGGATAGTAAAAGGGGACAGGGTCTTAAACTGGGACGGTCTTTATTTTGAGTTTTCCGGTCTGAAGAACGATCTCGTGTTTGAAACCGTCCTCGTTGTCTCTCTGCTCGCTGCTCTCCAGGTCCTGGTGACGGTCCTCGATATAAACGACTATCGGCCTCGATTCACCGAGCGAGTGTTCAACACCAGCGTGTTTGAGAACGAGCCGAGCGGGACGTCTGTGATCACTGTGCGAGCGGTCGACCTGGACGAAGGAGAGAACGGAGCCGTGCTCTACAGCATGCTGGGACCTCACTCAGGTGGGAACATTAAAAGACCGTTATTTTATTTTGTTCATTTAATAACTACGGATGATGTGGATGCCGCTCTGTTAGTTCACCCATCCTCACGATGTTTCCATCCTTTAGATGCCTTCTCCATGGATCCAAACACGGGTCTGGTGCGTTCTCGCCGCCTGCTTCAGTCCTCGGAACATTTTAATCTTACGGTTGTGGCGACGGATCAGGGCCGTCCTCCTTTGTGGGGCACCTCTGACCTCATCATCACCGTCATCGACGTCAACGACAACAGACCTGTGTTTGTCAGACCGGCCAACGGGACCATCATCCACATCTCAGAGGTTCGTGTGTTAATGAACGTCACTGACGGTTCATCTGTCTCGTTTCATCACAAATTTCGACACAAAGGTTGTTCAAAACCATGATACAAACCACATCTTTTAAAATGATACAACCTCTGCTATTTCCGTGCCTGTCAACATCATTTCTTTGGGGGCGGCAGTAGCTCAGTCTGCAAGGACTTGGGTTGGGATCCGGAAGGTCGAAGGTTCATGTCCCAGGACGGACCAAGTCTGGAAATTGGCCGTGTAGCTGAAGAGGTGTCAGTCCATTTCCTGAGCACTGCTGAGGTGCCCTTGAGCAAGGCATCAAACCCCAAAACTGCTTTGGAGCACTCGCTGTGTGCAGCCCCCTCACTCTGACATCTCTCCAGATCAATAACAAATATGTTCTTCTTTTTCTGTTTCAATTATCGATAGAATCAAAACGTACATGTCTTTAGCCGTATTTTTAACCAAAAGAGAGAGAGCACTGTCTTTTTAGCACAAATACACTGACTATACTTAGAAAAGTGGCAGGCGCTTGAGAAGTAGAGAGGGTTTCCCGCTTGCCTAAAGTACCCTTAGTTTAATAAAGTCCATTATCCCTGCAGGAGCAGCCCCCGGGCCTCCCCGTGTACGAGGTTCATGCCACGGACTCTGATGAGGGAGTGAATGGGGAGGTACGATACGCTTTCCTGCAGACTGGAGCAGGGAACAGAGACTGGGAGAACTTCCACATAGATGCTGTGTCCGGAGTCATCACGACCACGGTCAAACTGGACCGAGAGAAACAGGCGCTGCTCAGCGTGAGTCACCTGAGCTCAGGATGATAACGACGATGATGTCATTGTTTTTTTGATATGTCAGAGTCATGTAATGTATTAACATCTGTCTGGCTCTCAGCTCATTATCGTGGCCCGGGATATGGGTCAGCCAGTGCCGTATGAGACCACTCAGCCCCTCCAGGTGGCTCTGCTGGACATTGACGACAACGAACCCGTCTTCCTGAAACCACCTGTGAGCATTAAGTCTTTTATCTTATAAGTCCTTGCACAATTTAGGGGGGTGTTGTTCGGGCAGGCCGTCCACCAACGATCCCAAGGATCATAAGAGAGCTCAAGAGCTCCCAGAAAAATATGTGGTTAGTGACTGAGATTTACAGATAGATACATGCAGTAATATGATGTACTGTACATGCAAAGAGAGAGAGAGAGAGAGAGAGAGAGAGAGAGAGAGAAGGAGAGATAAGAGCTCAAGGTGCCAATTCCCCCGGTAGTCTAAGCCTATTGCAGCATAACTAGGAGCTGGTCTACACCTGCGCCAGCCCTAACTATAAGATTTATCAAAAAGGAAAGTTTTAAGTCTATTCTAAAAAATACAGAGTGTGTCTGCCTCCAGGACCCCGGCTGGAAGATGATTTCAAAGGAGAGGAGCCTGATAACTGAAGGCTCTACCTCCCATAGTACATTTAGAGACCGTAGGTACCACGAGCAGGCCTGATAGCTAAAGGCTCTACCTCCCATAGTACATTTAGAGACTGCAGGTACCACGAGCAGGCCTGATAGCTGAAGGCTCTACCTCCCATAGTACATTTAGAGACCGCAGGTATGACGAGCAGGCCTGTTAACTGAAGGCTCTACCTCCCATAGTACATTTAGAGACCGCAGGTACGACGAGCAGGCCTGATAACTGAAGGCTCTACCTCCCATAGTACATTTACAGACCGCAGGTACCACGAGCAGGCCTGATAACTGAAGGCTCTACCTCCCATAGTACATTTAGAGACCGCAGGTACGACGAGCAGGCCTGATAACTGAAGGCTCTACCTCCCATAGTACATTTAGAGACCGCAGGTACGACGAGCAGGCCTGATAACTGAAGGCTCTACCTCCCATAGTACATCTAGAGACTGAGGTTAATATCAGGTCCTGGAACTGTTTCTACCATATCAGAGGTATCTGCACCAGGTAAGGGCAGGAGGTTACCAATTTTGTCTCTGATGTCTAGAATTTTGTTGTTAAAAAAGCTCATGAAACCATTACTGCTGAGGGCTAAAGGAATACAAGGCTCAATGGAGCTATGACTCTCTGTCAGCCTGGCTACAGTGCTGAAAAGGTATCTATGATTGCTTTTGTTTTCCTCAATTAGAGAGGAGTAGTAGGCAGCTCGAGCGTGACGTAGAGCCTTCATATATTTATTATGAATATCCTGCCAAAATAATCGAGATTCTACCGTTTTGGTGGAGCGCCATATTCTTTTAAAGTGAAGATCTTTGTCAAGTTTCCCCGCTTTGTGTGTGTCCGTGTGTGTGTGTGTGTGTGTGTCGGTGTGTGTCGGTGTGTTTGTGTGTACCTCAGCGTGGCAGCCTGCCGTACCAGAAGCTGAGCGTACCTGAGCACTCTCCTGCAGGTACAGTGATTGGTAACGTGACCAGAGCAATGGATGCAGACGAAGGATCCAATGCAGTGGTTTATTACTTCATAGCAGGTGATTCAAAGTTTACACAAATATGAGGTTTGATTTATTTAAAGATATAAACAGAATCTACAGATTTCATGATTTATGTTTACCGAGCCTGAGACGTAGAGGTAAACTTGTTTATCTGCATGAGGATGTTTGTATGGATCCATCTGTCTTTTCTCGTCTTTAAAGGGTCTCTGCAGATGATTAACGTCTGAATGTCTTGTCTCTTCCTGTAGGAGGAAACTCTGACGGAAATTTTGGCCTCAATTTGGACGGAGAGCTCAAGCTGCACAGAGACCTTGACCGAGAGGAGACAGCGGTCTACTTCATCGTCATCAAAGCCTCCAGTAACCGGAGCTGGACTCCGCCAAGATCTCTGAGGGCATCACGACCACGAGCCCTGGACCCCACCCGCGACCCCTCCCTGCTAGAGGTCCGCATCGAGCTGGAAGACATCAACGACCAGAAACCACGCTTTACTAAAGCCGAGTACACTGCAGGTAACAGTGTGTGTGTGTGTGTGTACTTGTATTCCTATCTAACTGAGGACTTCCCTGTTGATATACATTCACCAACAGGGGACCAGACGTCTAACGGTCATGCTATCTTTATACCATGTTAACATCAGGTAAAAATAACATTAAACGCTCTGCTTACTGCTGTGTGTGAGTGTTTATCACCATACTCAGCAGGGCCCCCTCAGGCTGCAGCAGGAATTATTGCAACCCATATTACCCATGAGCAGTGAAACAGGACACTAAGAGAAAACGTGCAGACGTGATCTGTTTAGAAATAAAGCTGAAACTCTGTGGGGGTCTAGATGCCTCTCAATATGTTGGTCAGCATGTATGGTGGTCTACCTTGTACTATCGTAACCTCTCTGATTTCTTCCTGTTTTCAGGCGTGGCTGCGAACGCCAAAGTGGGCTCAGAGCTGATCCGGGTGGTGGCCATCGATAACGACATTGGGAACAACAGTTTGGTTCAGTATCACATCGTAACGATCCGATACTTCCAGTCACAGAGCAACGGCAGCGAGGACGTGGGCAGCATCTTCATCATCGGTGAGCTTCAGCGTCTAAAGATTAACGCTGATGATAACCAGCCATCGGCTTGGTTTACAGGTCGACACGTCACATGACGTTAATGTTGGAGAGGTTTTTAAAAAGAAAGACAAACATCAGCCGGAGAATACACAGGAAACATTGAAGGTCAAACTTATGAAACATTTTCTCAGAGCTCTTTCTTCCTGATTTTCCAGGATTGACAGATGGAATCATTCGAACATACGACCTCTTCACCGCCTACAATCCAGGCTTCTTTCAGCTCGAGATCCTGGCGTGCGATTTCGCTGGACACTGCACGACTACCAACGTGAACATCTACATCCTCCGAGACGACCAGAGGGTAAAAATCGTCTTCAACGAGATCCCCGACCTGGTCCGAGAAAACCAGGAAGAGTTCGTCAACCTGCTGTCTAACATCACAGGAGCCATCGTCAACTTAGACGACATACAGGTCAGAGTTCAGGATTCAGAAAGAGCTGATGGTATCTCAGAGTTCTTCATGTTTTAGATTCAGTTTGTTTTGTCTCAGTGTGACACGTGTTTGTTACTCTCTGGTCTGTTCAGTTTCACGTGGACAAGAAGGGCAGAGTGAGCTACGCTCAGACCGACATGCTGATCCATGTGGTCAACAATCAGACCAACACTATCCTGGACGTGGACAGGTAAACACCTTTATCATGTGACCTTTCAATAGACACATCAGACCGTCTGTCCTCTCATTGGCTCATACAAACCGGTCAGATATGACCCCGTGGATCATGTTGTTATGATAAGAGAGACCTGTCTGATACCATGGCAACTAGAATAGATGTTGTAGACACACGATCCTGGATCAGTTATTGAGCTTAAGGGCGTTTTTACGTTAGGAACTGTTTGTCTCTCGTATTCCTATGGGTTTTTTTTAATCTTCAATGTAAAGCACATTGAGCTTACCCGTAATGAAATGTGCTTTATAAATAAACTTCTATTCTATTCTATTCTATTCTACGTATTTTCATGAATTCATTCGTCTTGATCATTTTATATCATTTACTTCTGTCAACCATCTAAGGGTAATTCTTCTGTTGGCTCTGTGAAGCTGTAGCCTCACATGGTAAAACATCCCATAGTAGCAGATCTTTATTGGGATAGGAGCCAACCATATGTTGTCATTGAGTGTTACGTATTCAAATCATGGTCATGTCATCTTATTAGCTTTATAGTGATGTACCCAAACAGGAAAGGAGTTTGTGTGCCGTACTTTCTAACAGGATATAAGCAACACTGCCATGTGTTGTGTTTCTGTGTTCTGAGTAAATCCTAAAATGATCCACAGTCTGTTTCACGATTTCATCGTTGAACATTTACTACAGGAACAACCCCCACGATTGAACCCAAACGAACAATTGTTTCATACCGTGCCCGAGCACAATTCCCCCTTCCCTCCCTCCCCCGCCGGTCTTTGTCACTTTAGTAACATCATTCTGAACCCGAGTAAACTCGCGTACGTTCACAGTCTGAAACAGCAGGGGGCAGTACGCACATAGTCGGTTTGCAAATCCACCAAATAGCAGAAAAAAGAAGTAACCATGGCAACCACTCGCAGCCTGTGTCCGTCCTGCTAACTGTGGTTGTTTTTGTGATTTCTGAGACGCCAAACAACGACCCTCTTCATACGTCAACATCTACCGTGCAGCTCAGAGGATGTTACGTGTCCGTGCTGCGCGGATATGACGGTTTATTAAGTGACAGGAGACGTTTAGACGTCATATAGCGGCCCACTTCCTTGTTTGAGCACGGTTGTGTTGATTTCTCCCGTGGACCGTACTTCAGTACATAACTTCTGCCCGAGACCACCTCTTCAACCAGATTATGATACGTTTGTGTTCACACTGATCAAATGAACCGGACTTTGGGGTCAAATGAACTCAGATCTGGGCCCGGGTCCCTCGTGTGAAACCAGCCTAAAACAAAAATTGCAGACAAACTCCTGAACATGGTCTAAACTGCACAAATAAGTTGGCAACGTTTGGACCATTGGGAGGAGCGAGGGTCCCTCTCAATTCAGACAATGCCCCTCATTATGTGTGTGTGTGTCTGTATGTGTGTGTGTGTCTGTGTCTATGTGTGTGTGTCTGTGTGTGTGTCTGTGTGTGTGTGTGTGTGTGTGTGTGTGTGTGTGTGTGTGTGTGTGTGTGTGTGTGTGTGTGTGTGTGTGTGTGTGTGTGGTGTGTGTGTGTGTGCAGGGTGATCCAAATGATCGATGAAAACAAAGAGCAGCTCAGGAATCTGTTCAGAAAGTTTAACGTGGTGGATGTTCAGCCTGCAGTCAGCGACAAACTTCCTGATGACATCACCACGCTGCAGGTGTGTTCAGATCACACACACTCACACACACACACACACACACACACACACACACACACACACACACACACACACACACACACACATAGGTTTGTATTATAAAGTGTGTTTTTCTTCCTCTCAGCTGGTCATCATCATCCTGGCTGTGCTGCTGTGTTTAGCAGGAATCCTGTTTGTCACCATGAACTGGCATTACCGCCGAGTGTAAGACACTTGTCTGTCGATACTGTTGATTTATTTATCATATTAAGTGTAGTAACTTATTGAACATGAGCTCAGAAATGTTTTCATGCCACAGTCTGACTCATCAACATGTTTTTGTGTTGGGTTTTCTGTGTGCAGACACCAGAGGAAGCTGAAAGCCATCGTAGCTGGATCTACAGGTGAGAAGCAGCCGTCAGCTGCAGGATGTGGTTTCAGTGTTTATGTTCAGTAGCTAGTGTTAGCTGTTAGGGTAAGCTGACAGAGTTTCTCTTTATTCATCATCTCAAACCTAATTCCACTGGTTTCATGATCACATTAATTCCTTTAAACGTAAGTAAGTAAAGGGTCATACTACAGAGGAGCTGCTCTGTGGTAACCATGGACACCAACAGAGGAGCTGCTCTGTGGTAACCATGGACACCGACGGAGGAGCTCCTCTGTGGTAACCATGGACACCGACAGAGGAGCTGCTCTGTGGTAACCATGGACACCGACAGAGGAGCTCCTCTGTGGTAACCATGGACACCGACAGAGGAACTGCTCTGTGGTAACCTTGGACACCGACAGAGGAGCTCCTCTGTGGTAACCATGGACACCATTAGTTGAACAGGATGTTTCGGATGCTTAGCAACAGACTAGTTTCAGTTAAATTGTGGAACTAGTTGAGGTGCTGGAGTTTAAAATGAATTCGTTGTCGATTTTGACTTTTTATCTCTGTTTTCTGCTTGTGTATCACACTCGAGGTGGAGATGTTGCTCTATATACCAACACTGCTGAGATTATCTTTAGATCGAATCACAGCAGGACTGATATCCACAACAACATCTCCACCCCCAGTGTAATCTAATCTCAACTGACTGTTTCCTTTAAACGTGTGGAACCTGCAGGTAACCAGGGTCTGATGGACATCCTGGACATGCCCAACACCAACAAGTACTCGTTTGAGGGGTGAGCAAATATCTCATGATGATTCAGCTAAACCTGTTGATTACAAATATTCACCAGGATTTATTCACAAATGTTTCTGTGCTTCGTCTCCTCTGCAGGGCAAACCCCGTCTGGTTGGACCCGTTCTGTCGTAACCTGGAGCTCGCCACGCAGGCCGACCATGAGGACGACCTCCCCGAGAACCTGAGCGAGATCACCGACCTGTGGAACAGCCCCGCCCGCACACATGTACGAAACCTCCACCTGTTCTCCACCTGTCCTCCTCACGCCTCCACCTGTCCTCCTCACGCCTCCTCCTGTCCTCCTCACACCTCCACCTGTCCTCCTCACGCCTCACGCCTCCTCCTCATACCTCCAACTCTCTTCCTCACACCTCCACCTGTCCTCCTCACGCCTCCTCCTGTCCTCCTCACACCTCCACCTGTCCTCCTCACGCCTCCTCCTGTCCTCCTCATACCTCCACCTCTCCTCCTCACACCTCCACTTGTCCTCCTCACGCCTCACGCCTCCTCCTCATACCTCCACCTCTCCTCCTCACACCTCCACCTGTCCTCCTCACGCCTCACGCCTCCTCCTCATACCTCCACCTCTCCTCCTCACACCTCCACCTGTCCTCCTCACGACTCACGCCTCCTCCTCATACCTCCACCTCTCCTCCTCACACCTCCACCTGTCCTCCTCACGCCTCACGCCTCCTCCTCATACCTCCAACTCTCTTCCTCACACCTCCAACTGTCCTCCTCACACCTCCACCTGTCCTTCTCACAGGGAACGTTTGGTCGAGAGCCTCAGGCGAAGCCTGAAGATGATCGCTACCTGAGAGCCGCCATCCAGGAGTACGACAACATCGCTAAACTGGGCCAGATCATGAGGGAGGGGCCGATCAAGGTGAGACACACACACACACACACACACACACACACACACACACACACACACACACACACACACACACACACACTCACACATTAGACACACTCAGATATAAAAGCAAAACATTAGCTGAAATAAATCAGCTAACATGGCAAGCTAACTTTAGTCGTCTTGAAATGAATTTAATTAGCATACAGACGCGTGGTTGGTGGAGTTGATCACATGATGATCTCATGCTGTCACACAGGAGGTTAAATATTAGTGTGGGCACAGACTGTGAGTATATGTGTGCGTGTGTGTTTGTATGTGTGCGGGCGTGTGTGTGTCTGGTGTGTGCGTGTCCTGACTCTGTCTGACCCTCCTGCCGTCCTATCAGGGCTCGCTCCTGAAGGTGGTCCTGGACGACTACCTGAGACTGAAAAAGCTGTTTGCAGCTCGACTCGTCACCGTGTCCACGAGTCAGGGGGACCACTCGTCCGTCACCGAGGTGAAGCTGTGTCCTCTGCTGACTCACCTGTCCTCTCTGACGGGCTTCTCCCCCTCCATCTGGGGTCTCTCTCACCTTAACTCTCCTTCAGAGTTCAGTCGACCAATAGAAAGGCGACCTGACGCTTTACCAAAATTCAAATCTCAAATCGTACTTTCCAGAGAGCGCTCTAACCTGCACGGAGAAGATGGTGATGTCCTCCCCTTTATCTGAACATAGCAAACGTTAGTAATAATCTATAGAATATCAGGTGTCTGTGAAGTCTCTCTTTGTTGCCTTGGTAACAAACAGGTGTCGATATCGTTAGATTTCTGGTTTGGCGTGCGCTCTGATTCTCTTCCTGTGTGGAAACATTTTCGTCCAGCTTCTTTTTCTCCAGCTTGTCGCCGCATTACTGTCCCTTTAAGAGCTGTGTTTATGTTTCTTTGCCCTCTACTCTCTCTTCCATCAGCTGATCCAGAGCGACCTGGAAGACGATGACGACGAGCGTCTGGGCAACGGTGGGCGGGGCACTCTGCGTTTCAAACACAAACTTCCTGTGGAGCTGAAGGGTCCTGAAGGCATCCACGTGGTCCATGGCAGCACGGGGACGCTGCTGACCTCTGACCTCAGCAGTCTGCCGGAGGATGACCAGCGGGCGCTCGCTCGCTCTCTGGAGGCCCTGAACAGCGATGGCGGGCTGTACTCTGAACGCAACGCCCGCACCGAGTCTGCCAAGTCCACACCGCTGCACCGCCACAAAGATGGGGACGTGATGTCTGAGAGTCCACTGGAGATCACAGAGTTATGACTAGCAGAGGCCTCGCTGGTCTGAAGACCACCGGACTCCACGGCGCCCCCCTGAGGACAGGAGGAGTGTGTGTAGTCTAGTTAACCAATCAGACGACCTCACAGAGACAGCCTGTGGTTGGTCTGAGAGGATCACGTGATGAGGGCGGAGCTTATTTCAAGAGACAGAACAAACAGAGACCTCCATCAAAGGATCCACCCCCACTGTGGGAGGAGCTTATTCTACCTTAAAGGTGCCTCATCCTCACTGATCCAATACCTGGACTGCACACACACACACACGCATGCACACACACACACACACACACACACACACACACACACACACACACACACACACATACGCGCACACACACACACACACACACACACACACACACACATACATACACACACACACACACACACACAAGCTAGAAGTATGCAATGTCGTGGGATTTGTGCAATTGGACCAGACGAACACACCTTGCGTCTATCTGGACCAATTGCACAAATTCCACACCATTTTCACACACACACACACACACACACACACACACACACACACACACACACACACACACACACACAACCACACACACACACACACACACACACACACACACACACATACACACACACAGACCAGCGGAGGCCGTTAACACAAAGAAGATTTAAAAAAGCTGGACAGAGCGGAGACGTTTTTAGATACTTTTTGTTTGTCTCTGACTTAAAGACGAACGTTGAAACAGAAAGGACCTCCAATGTTTCCAGGTGATGTAACCTGACACCAGGTGTGGGCGGAGCTCTTCCTGTACTTTAAAATTTTAAAAAAAGATATTAAATATGAAAAGGACTTCCTGTGTCAGATCTTCATCTTCAGTGTGGACGACTCAGAGACTCATAATAAAAAACATTTTATAATAAATTTTTAAATGCAGAAAAAAAAAAGTCCTGAAAAGATTTTTTAGGAATTAAAGACGGCGCTGAGCCCACACTGCCCCCTGCTGGATCTGCACAGTCACAACATTTGCTTTATTTTTTTATTTGATAGAAATGTGATGAATTAAAGAATTAAAGATATTTTTGAAGAAGAAAAAAAATCTGTTAGTAAACATGCGGGAATCCACCGCGATGTTTGGAGTTTGTGGATGTCGTGCTTCGTGATGTACGTGTTTGTTTTTGTTTGTATGAAACTGTTTCTGAAGCGTGCCGTGTTTCTAACGTTCAGTTTTTATATTCACTTTTTGTACCTTTTTATTTCTTCGTCATTATCGTCCCCGGTCCAGAGTCTGTGTTGGGAAATGTTGGATGACCTGTGCTAATAAAAGAAGTATGCAATGAGCCGTGTCCTCAGTCAGTGAAGTTAAATAAACATCAGAGCGGTCAGCGTGAACGAGATCATCACATTAATCTCATGTTTGTCCCTTCAGGCTCTCCGTAGATAGTGGTCCTCAGTGTCTCCCTGTAGTCACAGGCCCTTTTTCAAACCAAACCCTACACCCTTCCCCTCCGTGACGGAGTGCACTCTTTTAGAAGTCACACTCGCAGCTGAATGAAGTCTCCATCATTAAGGTGTAGGGTAGAAATACAGCGGCAGGCTTTGGGAAAAACTTCCCTCTCTCAGGTGGAAACGGGAACTGTATGTTACCATGGTTACTCAGCGGTATCTTGCGGGAACGGCTTTTTTTTGTAGCTAATGCATTCTGTAAAAATCTTTATGTAGCCTAGATTATTGTTCTTCTTCTTTAGTAAGTTATATTAGTGTATTACTTATAACAAAACTATTAGATTGAGCCTACATTGTTTTTGTAATTTATAATTTCAGTTAAGTTATTGTAATTTTTAGAACAGGGTGTCCTAAATTAATGCAAAGACAAGGATAATATCGTTGAACATCAGAGCAGCAAAAAGTGTATGTTTTTATTGTTGAATTGAGATTTCACAAAGACATCAAAAGTAGAAAAATAAGAAATACATATTAACAGCGAAAAGTTTTCTGCAACATGATTTAATATTCTTATGTTTTTGCAATAGTCCCTGTAAATATAAAACACTTCACAATAAATAAACATATTTGATCCTCAATACAATACACATTTGAAGTTGTTAACGTCAGTATGAGGATATTAAATGCCTTAGTTGGAGCAGTGTTTGAACTCACAGGTTCCTTCCTCCATTATGACCGGAGGCGTTGCACGTGATCCGAAAGTCGGCATCGGTGCAGACTCAATGGTGGAGGGTTTTATAACCCACTACCATTCCCCGCTAATTGGTTTGGGACGGACTTAATATGGCAGACACGCAAACGGAGGGGTAGTGGGTAGGGGTAGAGTGTAGTGGCCGGTATTGAAAAAGGGCCAGTCAGAGGAACACACCAGAGCACCTCGGATGTTTGTTTTTTATTCATTTTTTTAAAGAAGGAGCATCAACAATTCCTTTAAACTGTGCCATCTGTTACGACTCGGCACGGACCCAGAAGCAAAACTCCGGACACAGAGTCACAATCCAAACAGTCTTTAATGTGCGACAACAAAAACCACAATACCAAAAGAGCATTGGAAGCAAGAAAAAAACAAAATCCACAAGGTAGAGGCTTCCACGAGTAGGTGAGCAGGCACGAGCACAAAACACCAGGCACTGAAGCAGAGAGACACAGCGGTAGAAGTTAGCAACACACTTGTGGTTCACACAGACCGATACTCAGATGTCGGCCATAAACGAGGTAAATACCACAGAGAGATATTGTATACTCAGGCGACGAGTGGTGAACCGGAGTAGATAAACTGTTGCAGATGAGGATGATTGTATGCACCTGGGCTGCCTGGGGAGAAAACCCCCCCCACACACACACACACACACACACACACAGAGAGGGTTGAGACAAACAGAGGAAAACTAACAAGAAACATGAGGAAGGGAGGGGCTGCTAAGGATGAACAATAACAGTACCCCCCCTCTCTCAATGACCACCTCCAGGTGGTCTACCAGGTTGATCAGGATTGTCTCTGTAAAAGTCAGGGATTAGGGAGTGGTCCAGTATCAAGGACCGAGAGATCCAACTCCTCTGCTCTGTTTCATAACCCTCCCAATCTACCAAGAACTGGAACCCCTGACCTCACCTTCATGTCTGGACAAGTTTTTGTCATTGACCTTATGTCGCTTTAAAGTTAAGGTGATGGTCTGTAACATTTTTATCTGCACCGTTTGTTTCACTACAATCTTTACCGGGGCATGAAAATACAATTATGAATTTAGTTCAAGTTATTTCGTAGTTTAGAAAAGGGGCATTTTCCCTCTTATCACAGTAATGTTATTAAAAATAGTCAGTGGTGGTCTGCATTATAAAGTGGTGTGCATTAAGAAGTAGAATATCTGAAGTTGTGCCTGTGTTTGTGTGATGCAGTCACATTTTAAATGAACCCTCCTGTTGTCTGAACAAACTTTACTCATTGTTCTCTGCTAACAACGCTTGTTCAAACCTGGGAATATAAAGAGAAGAAAGGAGAGTTTGATATATAAAACATTTATTGATGCATATTACATTTAATATTTGATTCTTTAAAAACAAGATTCTTCCAACAAGAAGGTCAGTGCTCAGTACCGAGTTCTTCTATTTCCACCTGCAAGAAGAAACAGACTGTTAACGTTTACTGGATCAGAAGAACTCTGAATATTTAGGTTGAAAACAGAGTGAGCACTTAGCAGAACATTTGACATTAGAGTGTACAGAGTCTCTGATAGCAGAGCGTGCTGTTCTACACAAATACATGACTCCTCTTTATAAACCAACACTCAGCTGACTGACACCACGCCAGCTCTCACTTCATCTGTTAGTAACTTTTTTAAAGATGGTTGTTACATTAAGTGAGTTAATTCATGAAGTTGTGTTTGTCACCTTTTGATTGTCCAGGTCTACCACAGAATCCGTTGTAGGGGTCCCACTGGCCGATCTGGTTTTCTGTGATGGGACAGAGAAAAATGTTCAAACTGTTTCTTCAGTCGACTTCTTTGAGTGATGGGGGTTCAAACCGTCTCAGAAATCCAGACTTGACCACATTTAAAGGAGCAGGTGAATGAATCTGGCTTCACCTCAATCCTGGTTGACTCATTGAAGAGACTTGTTAATCACAGGGAGTCACAGACGCTGCTTAATCTAATCCAAATATCACAATATAGAAAATGATCATGCTGCATTACAGAAAACCTTTTACACTAGTGACTGAGAACATACAGTCAGCAGGAAGATCTTAACGTTATTTAAGCAGTCAGATCTTTTCCTCAGACGTCTGTACAATCACACTATTCCTACACATCGAGAGAATTATTAAAAATATATTATTTGTTGAAGAACCGTCGCTTATCTTGACGTACAAACTGGTGATTCATACACCAAATGACTTTAAGCTGTTTCAAAGACTCATTTCTAAAGCAGGAATCAAATCATGAGTTTTCTTCGATTGGGAGTGCTCCTGTGACCTCAGTCGTTTGATGTGAGCTGGTTTAAAGGCGGTCTCTTATTTCACTTCATCTTATTCCTGCTTGAAGCCATAATTGGTAACACATTAAATCAAACTCTGATTTTAGTTTTTTTCGTGACTCAACTATTCCAGATAAGCTGCGTTACCTTGTCCTCTGTTCCTCCAGTGAGTGTTTCTTCTCTGGTTCTTTGACATCTGTCCGTTCACACTGTATCCTTCAGTCTTGCTGTTGTTCATCTTTTTCACATCTAGGAGACAAATAACCGTTAAAGCACATCACTTGTTTTTTTTCCCCTACAGGAGGTCAAAGTCACATTAAAGTGGAGATGAAAAGAAGCAGAGCACCTGAATCATTAAAATGAGGTCCCTTGTTTGGTTCAGTGCTGCTCTGTGATTCACATGGACACTTCCTGTCTGTCAGTTCAGAACACTGGACGCCACAGTCCACTAGATGTCCCTTTGACGGAGACACAGCAGCCGTGGTGTGCTCGACCTCAGGGACACACAGCTGCTGGTTTCTCCGCTCGCTCTCTTCAGCGTTCACACACGCGCTCTCTTCAACCTCCATGTCTGCGCCATGTTGAGGAATCAGCTGACACAGCATTTTCTCCTCTTCTGCAGAGTTTGAGGGCAGAGATTTCTCCTGCTCACGGGAGCGGGGGCTTCTCTCCGTCTGCTCGGTGACGAGAAAACATTCCTGGTTTGGGCTTTGATTGGCCTCAGGTTCAGAAGACCTGTTTTCATCTGCATTCTCTTTAGGAGGGGAAGAGACATTTAGTGTACTCTGCCATCGAGGTGGGGAAGCTGAGGGAACTTTTTCTGAAGGAGTCGTGCTCTGGTCTCGTTTCCGTTCCCTCCCTTCAGGGGAATCCATTCCCCCCTCTGTTTTTGTCTTCTTTGACTGACTGAGCTTCTCAGCCGGAGTGCTGAAAAGCAGCCAGCTGTCTGACATGAGAACAGAGTCAGAGGAGGAAAACCTGCGGCTGCGCCTCCTCTCTTTATGACTTCTTAAGTGTTCATTTTGGGTTAAAGGCCCACCGTCATCCTCCTGCTCCATCATCTCCACGATGACATCAGGCTCAAAGAGTCCTCTCTGCTGCAGCCACTCCTTATTGGGGATAAAAGGGGGGAGAGACTCCACAGACCAAACAGACTCATTCAGTTTTCTCTTCATTTGACAACTATTTGAAGACATTTGATAGGGAATGAGCTCTGTGCTGTGCGCGTGTGGCGTCGTCTCGTTTTCTGGCTCATTGTCAGGGAGCCTCTCTGATTGGTTCAGAGAAAGCAGTAGTTCATCAGTGGAGGGGAGCTCTACGACCCTTTTATCCTCTGAGAGAAGCTTGTGGAGAGTCCCAGACAGTCTGAGGATCTTAAAAAGTGGCTCAGAGTCCTGAGAAGTGAGCAGAGCCTCAGTGTTGTCAGCAGCTGTGTCAGACAGCACAGGAGCGCTCTTTGTCACAGCGCCATGCTGCTCAGCTGACTTTTCATTCTCTGCTTCACAAGACGGCTGCTGCTGTTCGTTCTCAGGAAGCAGCTTGTCTGATGGTTTTAACATCATTGTCAGCGGCGTGGCCCAGCTCATGATGATGTCGGGGACAGACTCTCGTCTCTCTTTGATGACATCATCGTCTTGTTGAGAAGAGCTGGACACAGGAACCATGCCACCAGAAGAGCCCACTGACCAAGTGTTGTGGTGGGAGTCCCTGCAGGGGGGAAGGTTCTCCTCAACACTTCTCATTGGGCTCTTCTGTGGTTGTCGTGCGTCTCTGTGATGTGATTGGAGCGCCTTTGTTCCTGCAGGATGAACATGGTTAAATCTCTGTGTGACTGCAGAACTCTCACAGCTCTTGTGAAAGTCTCTGGTGAATGTTTGGGGCTCTGCAGAGCCTCGTTTGTGGGAGCTGGAGGAGGACGGGGAGTTTGAGGTGGTTCCATGCCCAGAATCAGAGCTGATGAGTGGGCTCACCTCTCCAGAAGAAGCCCCGCCTCTCCCTGTGGGTTCTGTTTGGACCTCTGCGTTCACTGTTTGTCTCACAGGGACAGGATGAGGAGGGCGCACTCTGCGAGGCTGGTTTAAGTGCTGGTAGGGTGCAGCAGGAGCATGGACTGACGGGTGGAGCAGGTGTCTGTAGTCGACTGGTTGGATGTGAGTGTGGGGCAAAACGTAGGATGGAGCCTCCATGTAGGGGGGAGGAGGGGGGAACGGGGGCATGACCATGCCATAGCCTGAGGAGAACAAAAATATATATATTTACAGTCCAATCAAAGAAACTATGGTTCAGATTTAACTTTCTTTTTAGTTCACCTCATCTGTTAAAGAGGAGGTTATAATCAATACTGTCAGCAGGGGGAGCGCTAAATATTTTGGCTTCACAAGGGGGCTGTTGATTCGTCCATCTTAAAATACCCTCCAAGATTTTTCCATTATTTAAGGAATATAAGTAATATTTGCAGTCACGTTTCTCCTTGTCTGCGGTCAAACTACCGTGCAGAAATAGAGGCTTTAGAATATTTAACATCGTCATCAGTAGATTTTATTTCTGACATGCTGTGTGTAAGTATTTCAAAACACGATTCATTATTCTGCTTAATGGAAGTATTTAAGTTTTTCTTTTAGGTGATTGGACATTATGTGGATAAGATTAATTATATTACAGCTTTAATCCACAACATGACGTGATGATTTTAAATCTGACCACCTTTAAAAAAAGCGAAGTAGATAGTGGATTTAAAAACTGGAAAATAATTATATATTAAAAGTGATGGAGTGCTACCTCATCAACACGTCAATAAATATAGAATTAATTTCGCCTACATTTATTGTTTTTACCCATTATTCAAGGACGGCTGTATACAATATCAGTTTGATCAACAGAGTGTAGTCAGCATTAATTAAGTCATTCATTGTAGTTTCAGTTTCATTATCTGTCTGTTTCTATTTTCACTTCAGGTAAAGTAGTGAAAAGGTGGCTCTCTAGTATTTCTACAACCTGTATCAACCAATCATCTTCAGCGTTTCTGGAGGACACACTCACCCATGCCTGGGAAGCCATTAAAGGGGTTATAGGAGAAGGGCATGGGCCACTGGTAGTGGAGGAAAGAGGGCGGAGGTTGAACAGGGACGTAGAAGACGGGCCGGGACGAGACGTGGGGGTGTTGGAGTCTGGGGTCCTGGCTGATACCCTGTAGTCCTGGATCATGAAATCCAGAGTTTGGTACCCCGCTGGTGGGCTGTGAGTGGAGGATTCCAGCGTGTGGTCCTGGATGAGCAGGTGGAGGTCTGTTAACAGCTGCTGCTGTAGCTGCCATCTTCAATCTACACAGGAGGAGGAGGAGACAGAGAAGCATCCACACGTGTGTTTCAATGTGAACGACTCCAGTGGAGCTCAGAGTCTGACTTTTTAGCTTCTTAGTTATTTTACATCCTTTAAATCCATCAGACTGAAGTTCAGACAAAGATGTAATCTCAGACAAACACCAATCGGTTTTAACCAGAGAGACAGAATCAAGTCAGCGCTTCTTTTGAAGTCTGTCGACTCCGTTTCATTCTACCACCTTATTTTATTCCCCGTTCTTTTTAGTCTAAATCTGTTTCAATAGCTTCAACACAGAGTGTCTGCAGTAACAATATCTTAATGAATATTAAATGACTATTGAACAAAAATCTTGATTTCCAGCAGTGTGTGTTTGCTCTGAGTGAGACGGTCTCTCATTGTTTCTGTCCAGACAGCTCAGTGTTAGAAACATTCATGAAGAGGTTTAGTGAATAAAGGGAGTGATGTTGAAACACAGACTGAAGGAGAGTCTGGAGGAAGGGGCTTCAGTATTAACTGACATTAAGAGTCAGAACCAATCAGCTTTCTCCTAACAACAATATGTGATCACAGCCCATTCACCAATGCTTCAAGTAAAAGAGAAGTTTGTGTCTCAATGGAAATTCTCCTCATTGTTGAGTATTAATGTGACATCAAAGGAATCAATTTGAGATCAAAGTCAAATATTACAAGATGAGTCGTGCATTTACAGGTTTAAAGTGATACATTTACTCTTTAAAGCCTTGGTGCAAATAATATGCACACAGTACATCAGCATGTTTTCCTCAGTCTCAAATATTATTGGATGAAGCCTGAGTGATGTCACCCATCTGTTCCTGCAGGGGGCTCCAGAGGCTCATCAGCAGCAGCCATCGTGCTGGAAATCCTGTTTCAGCCTAGCGTTTAGTCAACCTAATGACAGGCTGAGAGCTGGAGCTGAGGCGGGTTTTAAGCCTCTGACAAACCGTTATACCCGGCCCACCTGTCAATCATGTCAGCTGCGCTCCTAACTCTGCATAACACCTATATTTATATAAAATCCTGACATCTTTCCCTTTTAAAAGGCTTTTGAAAATGTTTGGAATCAACCTGATTTAACCATTGACAGTTAACGTTTGGATTATAACTGAACATTCATTTCGACTTTAATCTCATAAAATTACTCACAATACATCATGACAGCTCCTGGTTAAATAAAGGTAATTAAAAAAAAAAAGTGTGGCCGGGGCGCACGTGGCTTATCAGTTAGGTCGCACCCTAAAAAAAAAAAAAAAGCTATAGTCCTCCAAGCAGGCAGCTCGGGTTCCCGCATCTCATTTCCCTCTCTCTCCCGTCCTCTCAAATAAGGCAAAAAAGCCCCAAAATAATAATAATAAAAAAAGTGTAGCCAGTGGTTATTCAGGTTAGCTTAAAACAATCTGAGTCTTGTTTTTCTGTTTAGTTGTCATTTTTTTGAAGGCTGATCTGTATGGTCGTTCTCCAATCAGACTTCTGTATGACAGCTCGTTGAAACTGTTGAGGAAAATACTTTAATACAAATTGAACACAGACGGCTCCGATCACCTGGCCTAAAGATTCACTGCTTATTTGTAAAATCTGTAAATTGAGGGTCAATAGCAATAAAAAAATTTTTTAAAAAAAAAACCTAATTGGATCACTTAAAATAGAAACCCTCCAGCTTGCTTTTCCACACTAAGGAGGGGACAAACTCAATACAAACATAGTGACACTACACATCGCAGAAGAAAAGAAACACTAGCATTAGAGTTGAGAGAACATCACAGAAACAGCTAACCTCACAGCTGAAGGTGATTCTGCTCTCGGAGAACAAAATGCAGACACAGTAAACAACTCGACAGCTTTTCACAGCAGGCAAGTTGTGGCAGGAAAACCTGAGAAGCAGAGGGTGTCAAACAACAATGGTTGCTTCACTCTGCAGGTCAGAGTCCTAATCGAGGATGTTGACTCCGTTAGTAGGAACTTTCAGCTTTTCTTTGAACTCAGACAAAAAGAGCTTCAGCTCTGTGCCTGCAGATAAATCAAAGTGTCACTTCTACATAACTCTTCTTAATGTCTTTAAAGTTCAGAGGCTGCAGACCTGCAGACACATGTTGGAAACTCAGACTCTGAATTAGAGTCTTTGTATTTAATGACAAAAAAAACAGGACATTAAAACAGCTGAAGGGTTCACAGCAACCCTGAGCTGAAGCACAAATCTAATCTGAACATTAAAGAGTCAAACATGAGATTCAACAAACTCCACTGAATCTCTAAAGAGGACATTTATCTTGAAATAGAATTTAAACATCTTATTAACTACCTTCCAGTATGTCGCATGCGTTGTTGTGTTGTGTGTGAAACAAAGTGAATTTACCTTGTTGAGACTCAGAGCAGCACACAAAGTGATTACAAGTGTTCAGCACACACTCACACACACACCTGAGTTTAAGTAGCTGCTGATCAGACAAGTGAGTGTGAGCTCATTGTGAAGCTGGACTTCATGTCACTGTGCATCACAACTCACACCAGCAGAGGGCGCCAAACTACAGTCAGACAACGAGAGCATCAAGAGCTGAATGTTCAGGAGGATCAATCTCAACCTGAAATTAAACTTTGAATCTTTTTTTTTATGAATAAATACAAATTGAATGATAAATACAATTGTTATTGCACATGTCTCAGATTTTGGTTGTGTTTGAAGTTATTAGTTGTGCAGAGTTTTAGAGAGACCTGTCCCTCAGGGATGCAGCATCTATCCTAGATTGTTGAACTCGACCTGAGTGCTCTCACCCAAACGGCCATAACATGGACGTAGTGTCAGTGAGTTGAAGCCTGATGGGGTCACCATATTGGATGTGCTGTTTTAAATCAACTTTAGGTCAGCTGGGCAAAAGCTGGAGCTGAGGCGGGCCTCTCACGTTCTGACAAACAACTACGACACACCCGCCTGTCAATCAGGTCAGCCACGCCCCTTATTAGAAAATGAGAGAGTCAGACCTCTTTTGTTTTTCTTAACCAGGCTGTAAACATGTTAATTTCTGCTGTTAAAGTTTGCTTTTTTTGAATGGGTGTGAATGTGACTTCCAGGACTTTTGCAGGCAGCCTCAAGTGGACTCTGGAGGGGCGGCTGCACTGGCTTCAGTTTTCAACACCCGAGGCTGCTGTTCGAGGAATCGAGGCGGAGCATTGACAGTTGTTAATAAAGTTTCCTATGAAAACTCCCACAGATGGCGGTTGACGTCAGATGTTTATGTGTACAGTTGTCTCATACAAACGCCTTCAAAAACACTCTCACCCATTCACACACACACACACACACACACACACACACACACACACACACAGCATCACCAACAAACACCAGATAACTAGCAGCTGAATCATACATATTCTCTGTCAGCTAGAGGTCTGCAGGTATTTCCTGCTGTTTCTTTTGTTCATATCTTTGATGATAGTTTTAAAAACAGGCCTGCCTGCTGTTGCCATGGTGATTTCAGATGCTTCCTGCCAGTTTGCACGGGCATAATCAAAAAGTTGAGGAATCAGCTTGTGCCTGCTATCGTACGACCAAAATACCAAAGCAGTTGTAAATCACTTCCTGCACACTGTTTATTTTAATTAATAAAAAAACATTCTAAGTGTGTCAGAGGTTATGTTGACTTTGCAGAGTGCATGAATATGTGATGGAACAATTGAGATACAGATTAGAGTAAATAACCTGATAAAAGTTTCACCACATTCAACTGTTTGAAGAGGCAATCATTTTTAAGGTTAAAGGAGCTGTAAAAGAATATTACCCAACTTAAAGCAAAAACCTTTCAAGCAAGATATTTTTCAATGTGGGAATTAGATAATTAGAGTTTTGATGAAGTTGAGTACCTGTGAGTTGAGAGGTCACAAGTCCCTCTTATTGCTAGTCTAAGACAAGTCTCAGCTGGTCACTAGTCTGAGTAAAGTCAGGTGTCAGGTAAAGTCTGATGTTTGTGGGAAGTTATTGAAGCCCAAATATCTGACGAATAGTGACAGCACTATAGAAGCTGAATGCTCGCCATGGTGTCATCAGTGGCGTGTCGGCAGCTAGCTCACCAGATGTGGAAGGTTACACCTGATGGGAGGAAACAACTTTTAGCTTGTAGTGTTAATGCGCTCAAAATACAACGGAAAAATAGAGTGCACAAGTCCCAAATCTTTAAGTCTGAGTCGAGTCCCAAGTCTCACATTTTTGTGCGACCTACGTGAGTCTGGAATCCAAGTCTGAAACTCAAGTCCCCATCTCTGGATCTTGACCGTCTTGTAAAGGTCACAAAACTCAGTCCCAGATGTTTTGATCATTTTTCTTCCAAAGATTACGAGGAGTTTTTGTCTGTCAACCAAAATTCAGATATGTTTCCCTTCAAACTGCAGTTTTGTATCCTAAACATCTTAAAGGTCTTTCACTTTTCAATGCTATGTGTCCTGCTGCTGATCATCTGTGATAGATCTCTGAGACACGAGGCGTCTCTGAGATCCTGAGAGCTTCTGAGTTGAGAGTATGATCAGGCAATGACACTGATGTGTGGTCCTATGGTTTTAATTTGAGTTTTGGTATCTAGTAACATTTGAAGTTATTTTTCTCTTATCTTCTCATAAGCCTTATTTGTTGTGCATCTGGATAACCATTCGATCCTCACTGTGCACTTCTGTCCTGTGTCTCCCACACAGCCGGAGCACAGCAACGTGTGTTTCTGGTAAATCCCTCCCAGCCTCAGAGAGCTTCCTTGTGGACCAGAGAGAGAAGCGAGACTCCATCAGGTCAGTTTGAACACAAGACCTCCTCTGAGTACGTTCTGACTCTGCTTCAGAATCATCATTTCTTCCATGATGATGATGATGGTGATGATGATGATGATGTTTGTGCAGGTGGCCCCTCAGATCAAAGGCAGGATGATGGAGAAGGGCTCTGTTCTGATTGGCTATCAGCCGCTGGAGGACAAAGTGAATTTCTTCAGGTGTGTGTTCTCCAACCCTGCCACACAGCCGGAGGATGTCGACTTGCTGCTGGACGAGATCGCCTGGCTGGGTCATGACCTTTGACCTCTGAGCTCTGACAGGACTTAGTGGTCTCAGCTCTGTTCAGGTTCATATAAAGGGAACAGGAGACATTGTTTACCTGCAGCATTAGTGTACAGTCTGGGTACATGGTGAAATGGACTTCCAGCTTAACTTTTTCATTAAATCAAAGCTGTTCCATATAGTTCAAGTTTTTCTAACAAACAAATCTGTTCAAACTTCTTCCTGTTTACACTGTGAGTCACTGCTGTCGGCGGCCAATCTGCTGTTTACTTATCTTAACCCTTTTAGTTTTGATTCGCTCATCCATTTTTTGTGACTTGTTTATCAAGTTGTTGCTAAAACCTTCCCATGATTGCTCTTTTTCTCTTTTATGAATATATCTCTGTGTAGTGGGATCCTGGGGGACCACAGTCAGTCTCGTTTCATGTTTTTAATGTTAATAGTTTAACGTTTACACACTACTAAGTGGGGCTAGGGGGCACTCTGTCAGTCATTTTAGAAACATAGGGGTGCTTGTCAACATTGGTGCAGACTCGCTGGTAAAGGGTTTTATAACCCACTACCACTCCTCGCTAGTTGGTTTGGGACGGACTTTGGCGAACCTTCCGCAAAGACGCGCAAATTGAGGGGTAGTGGGTAGAGAGGGTGTTTGAAAAAGACCCTCAGTGATGTGAAAGGACACTAGTGCATCTTTGAATGTCTCATTTCACTTCAACAAACTCTCAGACAGCTCAGCTGACGAGTCCAAAGTAATATCCACCTTATGACATCATACAAACCTTCAAAATAAAAGCCTAACAAGTTTTAAACATTCAAATAAAAATGTGATATAAATGGTGATTAACTATTTTAATTTAACGATTAATTGCTAATTATTCAAAATTGTAAAGGTTTGTTAGCCCTTTTGAAAACATCAACATGTTTTAAATATCTTTAAGAGGGGGGTCTGTCTGCCCTTCTTACATATTATAATTATTTATAATTCTTTAAACTCTCTAAGCTGAACACTGACACCTGGTGGTGGTTTGAACACATGACAGCACACAGGTGAGTTCCATCATCACTTTATTATCTGCAGCTTTTATAGAAAAGTTTTTCATCGTTGATGTTTCATCAGAGTCCTCGGCTTGCCGTGCTGCTGGACGCCGCAGACGCTCCACTCATCGGCATCTTCTTCAGAGTCCGGTTCAGCTGAGGGACGACAAGACCACAAACAAGCTGAGGCCTACGTTCACACATGAACCACAGATTCAGCCCATTTTAAATTGTAAACGGGGTCTCCTCAAAAGACTTCAGGGGGGAAAGATTTAAGATTGTAATGATGGTTGAAATAAAGAAGCAGGAGAACATTTAACCCTTCACACACTGACACTTTAAACTCTAAGTTATAAATCATAAGGTGTCTGAGACTTCTGTTGTTGTTGCCGTGGTAACAGCCCTCAGTAAAAGTAAAAAATAAGTCAAAGTGCTCACCTCTTCAAATTTATGGATCTGTCGGATGAAAAAGTCTCCGTAACGCCGAGCGACCTTCGTGTCAGCGATGTGGATCATATCCTGACGGAGAGTGAAAGAAAAACATGGATTGAAGAAACAGAAACAGCTGCTCACATCTAGACGCTCCTCAATGTGTGTGTGTGTGTGTGTGTGTGTGTGTGTAAACACCTTGTCGATGTAGAAGTCGACCTCGGACGCAGACTGAAACTCTCCGTCCAGAGCAGAGATCCCGCTGGTCCACACCAGGTTCTTCATCTTATGTTTGAAGACGAGCAGCTGGATCCTGAACTCCTGCTCCGTCATGTCCAGGAAGCCCGCCAACTTGGCCACAGGCATGGTGGTGTA